TCATAGCAGAGTTTTAGATATAATGAGAACATTTTGTTCGGGAGAATTGATTCATCTTGGGCAAACATGATTTGTCATTAATTATATTGACTTACAAAGTATTTTGGAACAAAAAAATGGCTTACAAATGATGTTTGCTTCAGAAGATTGGTGTGAGACTCGCCAACAAACGATCCGGTTGGAAAGAGAATAGAAAAGACAATTCTAAACCGTAAGTTTTGGGAGAATGTCAAAAAAGTGGTGAATATACAAACACCTATTGCAAAAGTTCTAAGAATGGTGGATGAAGAAAGAAAAGCTACAATATCATATGTATATGAAGTAATGAAACAAGTGAGACAAGCTATCNCGACAACATATAATGTGTAATCTTCGCCATAGAATAATGAAAGGTTGCAATGTGTCACGTTTGATGTAACACTTGACAGGCGGTTATAATAATGTAGAATAATGTGAGAAGTGTTATTTAGAAATTTCAAGAGTAATGAGGGATTTTGTAAATCATAACAAGAATGAAAGTGCAGAAGTGACTGATTAACGAAAAAAAATGAGATAAAATTTAATTGGTATAAAAGAGAGAATTGGCATTGAATATGCAAAATAACAATCTTCGTGACATAAATATGGTCGAGTAGGGCTTTAAAGGAGGAAGTTTTGGACCATTTACCCAAAAAGGTGGTACATCTAATGGTTTAACGTGTTGACATGGTGGGAAAAAACTTGAGATAAATTCTCAAGAAAATCACAAAAGTTGATGGGCAAGAAAAAAATATCTCACAATTAAAAAGATGGATCCTTCAATGTATTGGAATAGGAAAGTCAAGCAAGTCAAGCTAACTCACATGTAAAATCCCAAAAAATGGGCAAAGTCGACAAAACATATCATTGCAAAATATTTCATTTATGAGAATATTTCACCAAACAAAGCTCAAGGCCCAACTCCATATGAGATTGGTGGGTCATTACTAGATATTGAGATAAATGAACTAACTTACCGAAAAAGAAAGAAAAACTTTTTGATATACTATGATGAAAAAGTTGTCTTCCACAAGTATGATAATTATATTTTTGGGTTGATGGATGTTGTAGTTGTGGAGATTTAAGAGAAATATTTGATTCAGATTATTACACACAATGATAGTGCATTCAAAAAGGCTAGTGAAATGTTGATGAAAAGAAGATCACACTTATATTAGACTCCTTGTGCTTCCCATTCTTTGGATTTTATTTTGCATGATTTTACTAAGATTGAAACGGTTCAAAATGTCCTGAAACAAGCTAAAAGATTGACCAATTTTATCTATAATCATAGCAGAGTTTTAGATATAATGAGAACATTTTGTTCGGGAGAATTGATTCATCTTGGGCAAACATGATTTGTCATTAATTATATTGACTTACAAAGTATTTTGGAACAAAAAAATGGCTTACAAATGATGTTTGCTTCAGAAGATTGGTGTGAGACTCGCCAACAAACGATCCGGTTGGAAAGAGAATAGAAAAGACAATTCTAAACCGTAAGTTTTGGGAGAATGTCAAAAAAGTGGTGAATATACAAACACCTATTGCAAAAGTTCTAAGAATGGTGGATGAAGAAAGAAAAGCTACAATATCATATGTATATGAAGTAATGAAACAAGTGAGACAAGCTATCAAAATTGTGGCTCCTAAATCTTGTTAAAAATATCCTAACATCATTGATGCTCAATGGAAGAAATAAACCATTCATCATATTTCATATGGCAAGTAAACTTATTGCTTAACAATATTTATTTTTATTATTCATGTGTGTTATCATTTTGGATGTGACACAAATTAACTTATTCCAATATATTGTGTAACTTATTACTTCAACCCCATATACCAATATGAAGAGGATGTTAGTGTATTAAAAAGTTTGTTGAGTTCGCTTCAGATTGTTGTGTTTAGATTAGAGACAAATCCAAACAAGACTGCTCAAGCACTTGTAGAGGTAATACTTTAATATTTCGATCTCATTTTAAGAGAGTACTATTTTAATATACAACATCAACATATCCATGATATTTATGTCAAAATATTTTGAGAGGACATGTATTGTTTTTTTGACTAAGCGGCAATTAGGGGAAGAACCAAAAGTGAAACAAGTAATTAAGTAGCTAATTTAAACATAATATTTTATCCCCATGGTTTTTTATTTATGTTTTTTCTTTAAGATTTTAAGATGTTTCTTATATGCACTTTTAGATGAACTTGATGATGATGGGCAACCAATAAGAACAAACATTTTCCTGATAACATCGACAAATTATTTTTCTAATAATGATGGAGGGGTAGTTCAACGTTAAGAGTATTGTGTCACCACAGAAATCAACATCCAAAGTAAGTGGAGAAGGATAAAGTAAAACAAGGAAAAATACTTAACCGATGGATGATGAAAAGTTTGAGAGACTAATGAAAGGTCCACCAAATCATAGGCAACTTATCACTCTCACTAGTAGTATTAATGATGATCATAATAGTGATCATAGCAATGATGATGGAAATCAAGATAATGATGATGGTGGTGGTGGCAGCGGCGGCGATGGAGGTGGTGGTGAGCAGATTACTACTTTATCGTATGGAGGTAGGACCATAGAAGGAGTTAAAGTCCCCATGGAGTTGTATTCATAGCAGAAGAAGGATTTACACGTGCTACACGCTTTTGACGAATGATTTTATATGAACAACACTCAAGTCGAGATCATCAACATGAGTGTACTCAAAATTCGATCACTCCACATGGTATAAATGCTATTATGGATGGAATTGATATGATTAATGCTGGTCTTTCTAGTACGAGTGTAAGTGGAAGTGAACACCATAATTATGATTCTTCGTCTTCATACGGTTATGATTTTGGATATGACAATATCTCATATGATTATGGATCGGGATATGACTCACAAGGATACGAATATAATTCCTTAACATATGTTTATGGATCTAGCCATGACTCCAAGACATCATCCTCATATAGGCAAGATGAAGGTTCGGTAGGGACTAGTGTATTCGTTTGCACACAGATTAGATGTAGTACTAAGGACTATCAGAAGTTCAAGACAGAGTATGATTTATATTATCGTAATTATATGAGTTGGACTAACTCTTGTTGTTGGACTAACTATTGTCGTCATGTTTATACCACATATGAAGTTCCTCTAAATGACTACCTTGCACCAATTTATGAGTCTATTTGATACTCCACAGCGGAATGGATGTAGTCATGTAGTTGTGTACTCATTAGCACTTTATTTGTACTATGAGACCTTAACATTATGTAAAAATATATTTGCTTAATGAAAATTAAATATTTGAAACTAATTGAAGTGATTTTCGCCTTTATCAAGCCTTTTTTTTTTTCCCTCCAACTTCTTGTTATCTTGTATAAATGGATGTTCACTCAATAAACATGCTCAATTAATTAATTATTAAGCTTATTTTCATATTTTTTCCCGTTTTCATTGCATTTTTGAAATATTTCTGTTTTCGAGCTAACTGAAACGATATTTCGATCCTTGTAACAACCACCTTAAGGAAAGAAGGAAAGCTAAAATCCTCCTTGAATATAGAAAAATGTATCCTATTCGTAGCTTTGGTTAAATAGTTCTTTAGGGCAAACAAAATCTCCAATGGGAATCATAAAGAACCTTAACTCATGATTTATGAAGGTTATTATGCAGTAAACACGATTTCTCCGGAAGAATGATCCCAACTCTAGTAAAGAAGTTGGAGAAGAATTTCTCAGGATACCAGTAACATAGTTATTTGTCGTATAGGAACAGTAGCAATAAAATTTTTTCAATCTCTTAGGATGCTGGTTTAAATCCCAAAGCTCAGATGTGTGAAGATGCAACAAAAAACTTCCACAGAATTGTCTACGCAACCAAGGAGAAGCCATTTGGCAGGATGATACACCAAAACATAGGCTAAGGCTAGCAAATGACACTATTATTATTCACATGAACTCTTCTAGGGTAATTGCGGATGGAAAATATTGTGGCTAGAATGGTGTGTCCCAGACCCAAAGTACCATAAATCAAGCTTGGTAATGGGCAAGTCTGATACCTACAGCTTCAGCATGATTCTACCCATACTTTTATCAGTATGGTATTAGCACCATAAAATATCCAGTAAGTGGTGGTGGCTCTTTTCCACTTATTGGCAATAGCTTATTATGCATAGCATATTAGAATGCTATTCACCATATGTTCATCTTCCACCGCTCCAGGGACATGAACCAGTGTATTATGGTTCACCCCCACCTTTTTTCATGAATTAAGGGGGTATTTCTTGCTTCAGATTTTTTCAAATTAGCGCTGCATTACATCTCATTAAATGAAGAAATCAAGCAGGAATGATAGGATACTAAAGCGCTAACAAAAAAGGCACCTAAATATCCACTATATCCCTCCAAACAGAAGGGAAAGACAAATGTTTGTAAAGGGTAAAATTGGTTAAGAAGAGTCAAAGTCTACAGGATACAACTTCCTTGAATAAGTCATTAGGAATCCCCTAGCAAAGACTCAAACCTAACCCATCATTTAGATCAAATATAAGGAGTAAAATTCTGTCCTATAAAAACAAGACAGTAAATAACCAACAGCCCTTAAAAGGTGCATGCATATTGGAAGTCTTCTCACAAAAGTGCATAGAAACATTTTGAACTGCACCGTTCTTAGGACTAATCCCTTGCATACTAGTATATGAGCCTTGTGAGCCCCCCCACAAATTGTCAATTGGTTTTGAGTTGTATGCATAAACATGGTATCAAATTTTAGGTACAAAAGGCTCTCGGGTAAGACTGAGTTTGACAGCAACTGATTCCCCATTTTTCGTAACATTAAGTGCACTAATTCTCATATTGTCTCCTGAAACTTCATTCTCTCTCTCCCAGTGCGAGCTGGGGGTAGTATGCATGGGGCAGTATTAAAGCTTATCCCATATCAACAAAAACACAATTCTAGAAAAACGTTTCATAGTCAGTATGGCATTCTGAAGAGTAATAGAAACAATGAAGAAAGAGGAGACTTACCATCACGGACCAACTGCTCTGACAACTTTTCACCAAAAACCCCAACAGAACCATTAGGTGCACACACCAGTGTCCTTATTCTTTCTTCATTGCCAAGCCAGCGTCCAATCATTACTATCATCTCCTCTGACAAGCTAATCTCTGCCACTGAAGTATTTTCTGATGTTATGGAATCTACACCCCCAATGCAAACTTCAAGGTCGCTGAGTATGCTCCTAGGATGAGAAGGAATGTCAAAGAGCTTTTCTTGAATTATTTCGCACAGATTTTCCAAATCCTCGGAGCTAACTTCAGTAGGTTTAACCTGAGAAAGAGACAAGAGAATGATATATTTAAATATGCATGTACATAAGACTACAGGTACTGTATACCTCTAGTTCAAGATGATTCCCAAATCGTGTTTTCAAGTGCTGGGGACTTCCAATGCATCTCAGTCGCCCTCCAACCTTCAGAGCATGCAAAGGAAAACAAAGAATGGTCCCATTAGAGTATCTATGCCGTATATCACAACGATGACTTCAAGGTAAATGATTTGATAGTTACCATTATTCCAATCCTAGTGCACAGCGCTTGAGCTTCATTCATGCTGTGGGTAGTTAGAATAACAGCTGTCTTCCCTCGTCTGGTTGACAGACGGGATATAACTGCCCACATGAATCGTTTTGCAATAGGATCCATGCCTAAAAATTTATTACATGACAACTACATTAAGTGCTAGGAAACAAACACCACAAGAAAACGACAACTGCATTGCTAGATGTTTAATGCATTAAAATTTCTTACGGGAAATGAAAGGAGAGGACGGAGGCAGTCACACTCTACATACATCAACACAAAACAATTTATAATCTACAACAAAATCAAACCTAATATCAATACTGTTAGAGCATCCAACTCAAACCAATTGATAATAATGGAGAGGCTCCTTAAGCACATAAACCAAATTTGGACGGACTTAATAATTCGATATGGGATACAAGCTCTATTTACACCCTCCCATGTGTGGGACTCGGACTCAGATGTGGGACTAACAAACAAACAAACAAGTATGCATACAGGAAAATACAAATGGGTAAGAGACTTGACCCACTGACTACCTGAAGCCCAACTTTAATACTATGTTCGAACATCCAATTCAAAACCAATTGGCAATGAGTGGAGAAACTCCTTAAGCATATAAACCGAACTTGAGCAGTTCTAATCATTCACAGTGGGATATAAGCTCTCTTTACAAGTAAAAAGTGGGATCATGCTTCTACTAACAAATCTTGTAACTTCATAAGCTCTCTATATTGCAGATCTTGCATACTGTTAAACGTTCTTGTGTGTAAAGTGTAAACTCATAATTGATCAGACAAGGCTTCATAACGATTTCTAATGTCAGATTGTCATTCCTACTTGCCTATGGATCATGTAACTAATAGTATCATGAAAGATGCAATTTGCTAGTCTAGCAGTAGTGTGATCACAATCTAATCTCATATCTAAATTATTTCAAATCAAAGTCTTGAGGTGGCACTGTGATGTAGGACAAGGGCGAAAGGATAATTCTCAAAAAAGTTAGAGTGACAAAAAAGGACAGCCCAACGCTTGTGTCACTGCAGGGGTTGGGAAGGATCAGCTCAAAGTCTTTAAGAACATTGTTTATTGTAGAAATTTTTGGTGTCCATTTGATGTCCTATTGGTAGGGGAATGGTTTAAGGTTGATTAATATTCGATATAGTAGGGTTCTTCGTGCCAATTTGATGCCCTATTGGTAGGGGAATGGATTCTCTCTCACACATGCCGAGACATAGGTTGTTAGCCAGTTTGAGCATGATCCCAATGCTCCACATCTGGAGACGATTTGTCATATTTTGCGATACCTGAAGTCTGCTTCTAGAAAAGGATATTGTATCTAATCATCCCTCTTGAAGGAGGAGATGTTCACGGACATAGATTGGACGGGGTCAACAGCAGTAAATGATCTATCTCGGGTAATTGTACATTCATAGTCAGTAACCTTGTCACTTGAAGAAGTATGTGACCGGTGTTTGCTAGATCCAGTGCAGAAGCTAAATACAAGGTTATGCATTAAGCCACACGGGATTTGTGAGCTCATGTGGATTCAAAGAATGAAGAGTGATTTGGGGTTGGTTGTAACAGGCCCATTAAGCTGTATATTTACAAGATAGCTGTAACTTTTCGAGAAAAAAAAAAAAAGCAGATAAAAGGTAGCTATCAATATTGCCAATAACCCCATTCAGCATGATCTAAAATAATATAATGAGATTGACTAGCATTTTATCAAGGAGAAGCTGAATGAAGATTGGATTTGTATAAACTTTAGGAATTCAAAAAATCAATAGTTGATACGTTCACCAAGGGTTTTGGCAATATGTTTTTTCATCCTATTGTATACAAGTTGGGTGTGAGATATCTATGCACCAACTTGAGAGGGAGTGTAAGAAGGTACGGTGATTAGTCCGAATATGCAAGAATATAATCCAGCAGTTTTTTTGGCTAATTTTTCCATTCTCTTGTAACATAAATACTTGTGGAGTGGAGAAATGTAACAACTCTTCAAACTTTAACTCCTCTGGTTATATTATTTATCTTCTCTCCCCATTCTTCTAACCCTTGTAATTACTATACACATAGTCCAACACTCATCAAGGAAGAAAGGAAAACAATAAAAGAGGACCATAAAAGGCTAATTTAGCTACAGGTCTGAAGGTAATGGAAATCCAGGCTCTGATTTTCTGATTCAGAAGTTGTTAAAGAAACCAAACTCAGGTTTCTCAAAACACTTAAAAGCAGCTTCAAAACATATGTAAATTTGGCTTAGAACTAGATGGAATCAAATGTATTGTTCATCTCTGAATTTTCAGTCTGCATGGAAGCTCTATATGTAGTATATGATATCTACTCAAACATAGTTCTACTGCATATGCTATTGATACTAGAGATCCTAAGCCTAAAAAAATTACTATTATACATCATCCAGTGTAAATCAATTTAGTAGAAATCACTTCATATATTGCATGCCCACCAAATTTAATAAAGTGAAGTTTCGAACTGCTAGTAATTCACCATTTCAGGGGATTCAACATGTGCAAAAAAAGAAATAAATAAAAGTAAATATTAACATCTAAAAGAAAACAAATGTGATTTACCTGTGGATGGCTCATCAAGAATGACTATAGGAGGGTCTCCAATCATTGCTATTGCGACAGATAATTTGCGCTTGTTTCCTCCACTTAGGGTAAATGATGGTTTACTAGCATGCTTCAACAAGTCAAATTCCACCAACTTTTCCATAACAACCTGCTCATAAGCATGGCAAAAACTAAATTATTCATGTATCGCCATTCGCCACTATAATTAAAATGCAAATGGTGTGCTTCAAATATTTGCCATTAGAACCCACTCCCTAAAATGGAAATAAAATAAAAACATATAGAATTACCCAAGAAAGAGAAAGCAGAAAAAAAAAAAAAAAGNAAGCTGTATATTTACAAGATAGCTGTAACTTTTCGAGAAAAAAAAAAAAAGCAGATAAAAGGTAGCTATCAATATTGCCAATAACCCCATTCAGCATGATCTAAAATAATATAATGAGATTGACTAGCATTTTATCAAGGAGAAGCTGAATGAAGATTGGATTTGTATAAACTTTAGGAATTCAAAAAATCAATAGTTGATACGTTCACCAAGGGTTTTGGCAATATGTTTTTTCATCCTATTGTATACAAGTTGGGTGTGAGATATCTATGCACCAACTTGAGAGGGAGTGTAAGAAGGTACGGTGATTAGTCCGAATATGCAAGAATATAATCCAGCAGTTTTTTTGGCTAATTTTTCCATTCTCTTGTAACATAAATACTTGTGGAGTGGAGAAATGTAACAACTCTTCAAACTTTAACTCCTCTGGTTATATTATTTATCTTCTCTCCCCATTCTTCTAACCCTTGTAATTACTATACACATAGTCCAACACTCATCAAGGAAGAAAGGAAAACAATAAAAGAGGACCATAAAAGGCTAATTTAGCTACAGGTCTGAAGGTAATGGAAATCCAGGCTCTGATTTTCTGATTCAGAAGTTGTTAAAGAAACCAAACTCAGGTTTCTCAAAACACTTAAAAGCAGCTTCAAAACATATGTAAATTTGGCTTAGAACTAGATGGAATCAAATGTATTGTTCATCTCTGAATTTTCAGTCTGCATGGAAGCTCTATATGTAGTATATGATATCTACTCAAACATAGTTCTACTGCATATGCTATTGATACTAGAGATCCTAAGCCTAAAAAAATTACTATTATACATCATCCAGTGTAAATCAATTTAGTAGAAATCACTTCATATATTGCATGCCCACCAAATTTAATAAAGTGAAGTTTCGAACTGCTAGTAATTCACCATTTCAGGGGATTCAACATGTGCAAAAAAAGAAATAAATAAAAGTAAATATTAACATCTAAAAGAAAACAAATGTGATTTACCTGTGGATGGCTCATCAAGAATGACTATAGGAGGGTCTCCAATCATTGCTATTGCGACAGATAATTTGCGCTTGTTTCCTCCACTTAGGGTAAATGATGGTTTACTAGCATGCTTCAACAAGTCAAATTCCACCAACTTTTCCATAACAACCTGCTCATAAGCATGGCAAAAACTAAATTATTCATGTATCGCCATTCGCCACTATAATTAAAATGCAAATGGTGTGCTTCAAATATTTGCCATTAGAACCCACTCCCTAAAATGGAAATAAAATAAAAACATATAGAATTACCCAAGAAAGAGAAAGCAGAAAAAAAAAAAAAAAGAGAGAGAGTGCATCAAACCTTGAAGGGTAAAAAATGAGCTTATACAAACTCGTTGTTTGCATATTCGTAAAAGCTTACAAAATAAGGAGAAACTAACTGTCAATTTGTTAAGTTTATTAGAAACACCTCGTCTGAGAAAAATGGAACCACAAAAAAACACAGCACCATTGATCAGTTTTATTCCTCATCAATAGGGTTTCGGGACAGATAGGCTGGCAGAACACCTAACCTACTACTTTTGATCAATCTCTCATGCTTGAAAACTCAATTTCATATTGTTGCACCAAACAATAACACCATCAAAACAAAAGTATGAACACAAGTTCATATCTAAGTGTACGAGAAAGTTCACTGAAAATGGACAGAACTTTGGAATCAACAACCTGCTCAAAAATAAAGATATAATTGTGAAAAATACTAGGTTCGAGTGAGACATTACATCTTCCATCTTGTAATCTGGGACTCCTTTTATTCTTGCATACAGCTCAAGATGTTCTTGGACAGTTAGAAACTCTAGCAGAGCATCAAATTGGGGACAGTAACCAATCTGACAAGAAAAAATACAATGAACCAAGTTATCTTGGGTACTCCATAAATTATTTTTACATAGTCTAAATTTAATCATAATTATATAATAGACAAAGAAATCGCAACACACCTGACGACGCGCAGCCTTGGGATTTAAAGATATATCTTTACCAAAAATAAAAGCAGTTCCATCAGTTGGATACTCTTCTCCTGCATTTGAACATTGGATCACAAACAAAATATCTACATGTAGCCTTCCATTCACCGCATTCAACATTTTCAGATTAAGAAAAGCTTTAATGTTGGAAGTGGAAGCACATAAAGAGACACCTTTGTTGGGTAATGCTATGCCGACGACATTGCAACATCCTCATAGTCCACGCTGATGTCAATCTTTTGATTACTCCCAATTATTTGGTAAATTGGATAAAATAAAAAGTTATATTAATATAGGGATGCTTCAACCAATTTCAGTCAGATGAAAAACTTAACAAAGATGACCCCATCTCCTAAAAAACTCAAGAAATGGGACTAAGCCCAACCGGTTGAAGCTATTTGTTCCCAAAAAATAAAATAGAACATATGAAAAAAGATTATTTTACCCTGTCTATGGACATTACTATATCCTCAAACATCCTTCCATTCCTTTTCCTCCCACAAGCTATTTCTCGGCCATCCCCTATCTAACATTCAAACGAGCCTCTGAAAAATCAAGGCAGGGACCACACCATACCAACAGCTGAAAATATAAATACCCAAAACTCTCGCGCTGTACGGCAAACCAAAGGAGGTGGCTCATGGACTCTTCATCAGATAAACATATAGAGAATTGCTTAGGAAGTTGAAAGCCCCTCCTCCTTAGGTTATCCAATATGAGAATAGATCCTATGCCATAATCCATCCAAAAAAAGTGACCTAGGAAGGAGCCTTAGACTTTCAAATCCTCTTCTAATGAAATGACACCTCTCCCACCACCTAACTGATACTAAAAGCTTGTTTTTTGTAGTAAAACTTGTTTTATTAATTAATAAAAGTTTGTTCTTTTCCATTTTATTGAGAATCTATGGACAAAATATTTATATTATATTTAATATATGGTATGCATGTGTGTCTTATATTACATTGTAAATAATCTGGTATGCAAAGTTCGGCTTATGCACAAAAGACCAGATTATCAGATCCTTGTATAATATGAGTATAGGTTCATAATCATAGATGGAATTAGAAACACCATCAGTATGATTGTAGTGTAATATTCTTGCCAAGGATCAAAATGTCGTGTCGACACGTCCGAAACGTCCGAAACGTTTCGGAATTTCAACACTCCGAAACGAAACAGTAGTTGAATCACAAAATTCCAGTGTTTCGGTCGAAACGGTACTGTTTCGGACCGTTTCGGTCGAAACGGCATTGTTTCGAACTGTTTCGACAAAACAGTGATATATTCGGTTCATTATGAATAATTACATTTAATACCCCATTATAATTACATTTAATACCCACTGTAATTACATTTAATACTCACTATAATTATATTTAATATCCCACTATAATTACATTTAATTCCCACTGCTCTTCTGTCTTTTATAATTTTTTTGTTATAAGAATAAATAATTACACTTAATACCCTACTATAATTATATTTAATACCCATTATAATTATATTTAATACATACTGTAATTATATTTAATACCTCACTGCTGTGCAAGTTTTTTTTTTTTTTTTTTTGTTATAAGTATTAACAATTACATTTAATACCCTAATGTAATTATATTTAATACCTACTGTAATTACATTTAATACCCACTGCAATTACATTTAATTTTTAAGTATACATAAGTATCATTAATTTAATTTGATACCCTTCATTATTAGTATTATAATAAAATAGTATTATTAATTGGATTATATTACCGTAATAATATGATTTGGAGTAACTATTGTCATCATATTTATGTCACATATGGAGTTTCTCTAAGTAGCTACCCAGAGCCTACACCGATGTATGAGCCTGCTCGACACTCCACAGGGGAATGGATGTAACCATGTAAGTATGTACTCATTAGCATTTCATGTGTATTATAAGACCTTAATATTATGTAAAAATGTGTTTATTTCATAAAAATTAAGTGTTTGAAACTAATTTAAGTGACTTTCGCCTCAAGTCAAGCCTTTTTTTCCCTCAAATTTAAATTTATTCTTGTATAAATTGATGTTAACCTAATAAATATGTTGAATTAATAAATTATTTAGCATATCTTTATAAATTAATGGATTGCATTTGTGTTTCTATGCGTTTCCATATTTTTTCTACGTTTTCATTGCGTTTCCGAAATGTTTCCGAAACGTTTCTATTTTTGAGTTGACCGAAACGGTACTTCGAAACGAAATTTTGATCCTTGATTCTTGCATAATCTGTCTTGACTGTAGGAGACTGTTTAATGTTTTGAATTATTACACTAGTACACTTTGTGTATTGAACAAACTCATATTGAGGTTATTATCTTTTACTAATTTAATAAGATAATAAATACTTGATGATTATTATGATTGTTTATACTCTTAATCCTGAAATATTTAATTGTCACGTGCATATAATGTTTGTCACTTTAATTCATCAAAGAATGAGATTCATATTAAGTCAATGAGCTCGGTGAATTGGGAAACGATGTTATCGTTCCCAATTGACACTAGGTAACTTATCGTTCACAAAACAAGGCGGGATATGGTTGCCATGTTGATAAACATCTATGAATTTATGGACTTGAATAGTCAACGCATTAACCGCTTGTTTTACTCGAGCTATCTGACCATGTATGGGTAGGTTGTTAATAGCATTAACGAAAATTCTTTAGACACTAACAAAATTATTGTTGTTGGTATAAAAGCAAAAGAAGAGTTTATTTTTTTGTATGGTACAAAACTTGTTTCAACATCGTGCCTTGATCCCACAACATAAGAAGAATCAAGAAAATCATGTTTAGATACCATGTATCTACTAGTCAAGGAAACTAACAAGGAAATGGACAGATGGCAAAATGCAGTCATCAATGAGGAGCTTTTCAAGTGTCTTCAACAAATATGTGCACGATCTATATAATCATTTAGCAAATTAGTTCAGATGGTACCCAATATTTGTTATTCAAAATTTTCATTAATCAAAAGGGTGGATGGAATTGTCTTTGTAGATTTGCTCCACAGACACATGGATTATGTGGTTCAACCTCTCGGTCAAAGATGCGCAAGTAGTTATTCAGTAACTCTGGATTTTGGGTTGCTTAGAAGTCTAGTGTCAATGAAAGACTAAACTCCATTCAAATTGATTGTACAATTCGTCTACAAGCCATTGTAGGTCAAGCTTTCAAAATATTTATAGGATTCAAATTTTGGAATGGTCGACAGCCTAAATTCAAACGAAGTTGAATTTGAGGACGAATTCTTTTCAGCTTGAGGAGAATGATGCAGGGTAACCCGAATTTTGGTATTTTATTTGAACGTGATCAATGTCATTCAATAAGAAAATTTTGGAAATTTCATTTTATTTCCTAGTTTAATTAGGAAAATATATTTTTTATTTGGTTTCCTAATTATTTAGTATTTTAGTTTCCTAGTTTGTTTAGGATTTCTACTATTATATAAATGCATGTAAGTCTTAGAACAAAAGAGTTTTCTCTTTTCTTCCCAAATATTCTGGTATTAGTAGGAATCAACAAATTTATTGAAGCCTTTAGGATTGATATTCTTCATGAATCAACAGCCCTATAGTAGGATTTTGAACTGTTATTTGAGCAAAAATCAATAGTTTGGTCTCTTTAACTCCTTTCGTTCATTATACCCTTGTTTTTACCCACTTTTTCTGCATCAATTAGTCTTCATCTTTGGTAGCATGAAATAACAAATTATGTTTTGGACGTCTCCTCCAACACCATGAAGTAAGTGTTCCTAAAATAATTCAAATTGTTTCCGGCTTTTCGCACTTTGCACCCTGAAAGATTTCAAAATTCTCACTTTGTACCCTCAAAGATTAAATTTCTCACATTGCACCCTCAATGAATCAAAAGTGTTATAATGCGGTCTTTCTATTAGCTTCTGTTATTTTTTCCATCAAAAGCCAACCCATTTACACTGACAGAAAAACTAATAGAAAGCTAACTGAAGGGTTACATTGCAAAACTTTTGACATATTGAGGGTGTAATGTGAAAAATTTAATCTTTGATGGTGCATAATAAAAATCTTAAAATCTTTGAGGGGTACAAAGTGCAATTCGCCCAATTGTTTCTGTAAACCCTTGTTGATAGTGTTCTACTGCTACAAGATTATGAAGGCTTAAAGGATAGAGAAACAACCACGGGAAAAGAATTTGATCCATATATAGATCATAGTAAAGTTACGGGATGGTTTTGTTTTTTTCTCAACATACTAAAGAACTGACTCATGCTTAGTAAATCAGTAACACACAAAAAATAAAAAATGAAAAATGTTTTAAATTTAAATATCAGGGTGCAGAATTGCTATTACCAGATAGCATTGACAGAGTTGTAGTCTTCCCTGCTCCATTTGTCCCTAAAAAACCAAAACATTCTCCTTCTTGAACTGAGAAAGTCAATGAGTCGACAGCAACTTTTGCAGCCTGGTGCTTCGCTCCAGGATATACCTAAAATGGGTGCCATATTTGCTTGAACACAAGAGTAGATTGCAGTATATTGGCATTAATCCATTTTCTGCCCTTGGGCAAGAAATTTCAGACAAAAAGTAAAAGTACCTTCCGAAGGTTACGCAGGTAGATAATGGCATTATCAGTTGAACCTGATAATACCCTATTTCTCTCTGTTTGCACATCTATATCTTCATCAAGGTCAACAGCAACATTTTCTGGGGATGGTCCTAAAAGGGGTTCTAAGAAGCTACTGGAAGTTGGACGACAGAATTGTTTCATATTTGTCAAACACTCCTTAGCCGTGACTACACTTAATTTGTTGGGAGGCACGAATTCGAGCAAAAGCGTAAGGAGGAAATAAATGATTGCCTGTCAGAGGAAGAGAGAGTAATATCATTTCAATATGATTCAACTTTAATTTCAAACATAAATGGAAGATAACTTAAGTATGGATATAGAGGACTGCATAGGTAATTGCAAATAGAGGATGTATGTACAATAGAATGAATGGTGCAACAAATACCATATCAAGAGACTTACAACACAGAGATCAAAAGTGCATTAGGACATCATAAGAAGGACATCTTTGATGATTAATAATATGTTCATCGACCAATTTAAAATTAGTATATCTTGAATCCATGAAATTTAAAGTTTGATAGGATATGGTTCAGATACAAGATGAGTAACAATTTATCAATATAGAGTCTGTTTACACAGTGTGGGCAGTGAAGATATATTAACTGTTATATTATGTATTATTTATAGACTAAGGGTAGTTTAGTACTTTGTGAATATATATAAATTTCTGAATATATATAAAAGCTGGATGTAGTTTTGTAACCAGACACACTACTCTATTCCCATAATATTGTCTTATCTCATCCTTTTCTTTTCTCTTCTACTAAACCCTAATTACTATGTAATCCAACTTGATATCAGAACAACTATCCAATCTAAATTCGTAGAATTGTCAGAAATTTTCAAAATTCATCAAACCTAAAACAAGGTGGCTGACGTCAGCAACTCGACAATGTCAGAAATTTTCTGGGAAGACTCAATTTTTTGCCCCGAGTTTATGGTGATTTTCTTAGATTTTTTTGAAGCCATCTAATGATTTCCAATTTTTTGAAGGGTTTTTTCTGGTTTTTTGACTGTCAACGTGAGATCTAATTTTTTTAGGCATTCCACCTGCTTTTTTTTCTTCAATTCTACTGGGTGGGGTGCAAAAAGGGTAGATCTATAATACCCAGGAAGGTTTGTTGCCACTAGATCAGATTTGCGAGGTTTTTTGGCCAATTTTCAAATTCAGCAAGAGTGTTTGCTGTCTTTGTCCAGTTTCGGGCTACTGTTCCAGGACCTTTGGCTCCTGTTTGAGGCTTTGCCGCTACTGGAAGAGTTGGTTGGCTACTACTTGATCCTTAATTAGCACAGATAAATTGGATGGGAGCAAGTACTTGGCATGGCCACGGGCTTAGTTACTATCAGTCTAAGCTATTGCATTGGATGAATATTTGACTGGAGAGAATAATAACTCTAGTGAGTCAGGTACCTCTTTAAAAGCAGTGGACATCTGAAAATACTTTGGTTATGTCTTGGTTGGTCAACTTAATGCAATCGTCTATCAGTCTTGCTTTTTTGTTGATAGAACACATAAGATTTGAACTATTGTGTCTCGTACATAATCTCAACGAAACAATGATGCCAAAACATATGATCTTCAAACGAAAGTGCAGGAAACTAATCAGAAAGATAAAACCCTTACAATTTATTATGCAAAGTTGACTTTCTTGTGATAGGAGTTTAACTACTACCGAAATTTTCAAGCTTATTGGGCTAATAATGCAGTAAAATTTCAATAGATTGTGAAAAAGAAACGACCATATATGACTTTTTTGCTAGTATTAATATTGTGTATGATTAGATTCAGGTTTAAATTTTGGTTCATAGTCCCTTCTTCACTTTACAAGAAGCCTACCCCCATGCCCAAAAGGAGGAAAGCCAGATGATTGCTATGGTTTATGCACCAACTCAAAAATCATCTACATTGGTTGTTATTCCTCAACATGTCTTGAGTTTAACCTTGCCTAAGCCTATTGAGATAGGTGACACTATTGCTAAGGATACCTTAAAATGTGACTATTGTAGGAAGATCAGACAAACTAGAAAGTTTTGTTGGAAGCTGACTAGATGTCATACACGTGGTTGAGGGGGTAATGTGCAATCTCATGCACACATGACTGAATCTTTAGAGACTCCATCTCAATCTACTCCCTCTAATTTCACTCAAGATGAAATGCAGACTCTCAAGAGTCTGATAGCTTAACTGGATGTTCCCTCTACTATAGCTCATAATCCTGCCTCTTGTTCTAACTTGTATACCTGCTAGTGTATTTACTTTTTTTGTTTTTTTTTTTTGGGGAAAGGGGATTTGAACCTTTGACCTCAAGAAGACAAAATCTTTACAAGACAAGGAGTAATATCACTTTTGGAATTTACTTGTTTGTTGATTTTTACTATGAATGTTCCTCGATCTTTCTGGAGGGATGCATTTCTTACCGCTGCTTATCTTAGTAATTATCAACCCTCAAGTGTCTTTCAGTTTAAGTCTCCTATTTAGGGTCTTTTTAAGTCTTCTTCAATTCCTTTTATTTCTGCACTTCCCCTTAAAGTATTTCGGTGTGTTTGTTTTGTACACAATTAGAGACCCTTCGAAGCCAAAGTTGATCCTAGGGCTCTACGATGTATCTTTGTCGGTTACTCTGCCACCCAAAAAGATATAAATATTATCATCCGTCGCCTTAGAGAATATACGTTAGCATGGATGTTACCTTTTGTAAATTTAAGTCCTTCTCTACTCTCCAAACATCTCTTCAGGGGAAAAATACCACTATAGAGGAAGAGATATTTTGTCATGAGGCTCTTCTTCAATTACCTATTCAGTAAAATGTTGGTCAAGGGGAACATCTTATGGAGGGAAAAAGTGATGGTAGTGATCTACATGGTGCTCTTCTCCACAAGGATAATCTGAAGACTTATTCTCGACGTCAAAAAGTACAAACTACCAATGTATTGTCTAATCAGTTGAATTCCATTACTCCAGTTCCATCCCCCACTGATTTATCAAGTAGTCAGGTAATAAATATCTAGATGTTACTCTTGTTCTTGATAATCCAGTTGTTTATGACTCTAAGCTTCCTATTGCAGTCAGTAAGGGTGTTTGAGCTTATACTTAACATCCTATCTCTAACTTGGCCTCTTTTGATTTCGTGTCTCCATCTTATCATACTTTTGTTTCCTTTTTGTCTTGTATATTTATTTTTCTGGTTTGGAACAAAGTTTTCATTGATCATAATAAATGAAGAAAAATTATGGTAGAGGAAATAAAAGCCTTGAAGAAAAATTATGGTAGAGGAAATAAAAGCCTTGAAGAAAAATGTCACATGGGAGTTGGTTCCGAGTCTCCTGAAGCACGAGCAATAGGGTGCATGTGGGTGTTTGTCGTCAAAGAACAAACTTAGGGGACTGTTAAGAGGTACAAATAGGCCAGTCCATGTATCAGATTCAGACCAAATCTAAGTCCATACGAATCTGAATCCAATTAAAAAGTTTGTTACCTAATCCGATCTGTTTACCCAATAGATAAAAAATTATTAGTCATTTTACGAATCTACTTATAATCACACATCTAGTTTGATTACCCAATCGATCATAATGATATTCCACCTAAATTTTAACCAAAAAAAAAATTTAGATCAAATAAAAATAATCAAAATACACATATGTGTATATTATATATAAACATATATATTATATTATATAAAGGCAAATATATATATATTTATATATGTATATATATATATATATTATATGTTTATACTAACCGAATTAAATTTTTATTAGATCGAATTTTTATTGGATCGAATCTTTATATATCTATATTCATATCCAATTTAAGATATCTAAACAAATTCAAATAAATAGATGAAAATATTGGTCCATATCCAATTAAATAGATTCAAATTTGTATCAGATTATTACTGAAGTCTGGTCTATTCACAGACGTAGATACAAAGCTAAACTAATTTCTACGGAATTTACTCAAACATGTAGTATTGATTATCAAGAAATTTTTCTCCTATGACAAAGATGAATACTATACATGCTCTTATCTCTTGTGCAGCTAACTTAGAATTGTAATTTGCAGTAGTTAGATGTAGAAAATGTCTTTCTCCATGAAAACTTGGAAGATGAAGTGTACATAGAGATTTCTCTAGGATTTTTATCTCAGATAACTGAAGGGAAGATGTGTAAGTTGAAGAAGTCTCTCTATGGGCTGAATCAATGTCCTAGAGATTTAGTTTAATAGGTTTCTTATAGTTATGCTGAAATTTGAGTATAAACAAGAGTCATGCTAAAATCACCAAATTGAAGGCTTAGTTGTCTAAAGAGTTTGAAATTAAAGACTTGAGTCCACTGAGGTTCTTTCATGGGATAGAGGTTGCTAGACCAAATAAAGGCATTTTTATCTCCTAGATAAAATAAATTCTTGATGAAGCTCTGACCCGTTGACACGAACCCGACACGAACGATTATAAAATTGACACGATTATTAAATACGCATAATAAATAGTCTAGACTAATGTTTAATATTCAGAACACACTAAATAGATTATTTTTTTTCATGGGTCTTGACATGAACACGACACAAATAACACGACATGTGGGTCACACGAACACGACACGATTGACACCCCTACATGTAAGGATGTAGACCCATAGATTCTCCTATTAAAGTCAACTATCAATTGTGTGGGAGAGTTGGTAAAGTAGTAAATAAGTGAGAGATACCAGAGGCCGGTGGGGAGAAAGATTGATATTTCTCTCATATACTCTGCTAGATATTGCTTATGTAGTAGGTATTGTTAGTCAATTCATGCATAATCCTTGAACTCCTCATCTTGAAGTTGTTTATCACATTTTGAGATATCTAAAGTCAGCTCTAAGAAAAGGGATCTTGTTCCTCAATAATGGCTACTTGAAATTGTGCAGACTAGGCACATTCAATGGACATCAGATAGTCAACTTTAGGCTATAGAGGAAATCTTGTTGCATGGCGAAGCAAAAAACAAGCAGTGGTGGCAAGGTGTAGTGCGAATGCTGAATATAGAATAATGTCTCATGGAGTCCGTGATTATGGGAGGGCTGAAAATTTATGATAACAGACCAATGAGACTATGCTGTGACAACAAAGTTGCTAGCAACATTGCTAATAATCC